TTTCCTATCTGCTGCTTTTCTTTTTTTATAATAATTTTCCTAAAAGTTTGCAAATATAGAAATAAAAATTGAATACAAACTAAAGAAAAACTGAAAAAGGTGAAAGAGAAAAAAGAAAAGGAAATATATCAAAGATGACTCAGGCCATGCCAACAGACAAATATAAATAATTTGCATAATTACCTCCTTCGCTAGTATTTCAATTTTTTAAAAAAATTCTTTTTTCCATATCTTACCCCTTATCCATCATCAAATTACAAAAGCACATCATTCAGTCCTAATCAGCAAAAATCTATTAATAGCTACCAAAAATATTAACATATATGTTTTAATCTTAATAAAAAAAATCAGTGGTATAATCCAAATTTATCACATTCTGTAAAAAGTAAAGCAAAGGAAACCTCTCTCCACTTATAAATAAATTTTTAAAGCCTCATTATTCAGTCCTGGTCAAAAAGAAATCCCATTAATAGCTACCAGAAACCACAGCACATATATTTTAACTCTGATCAAACAGATTCACTTTATAAGCCTTTTTGTTTTTAAGAAGCTTGATCTTTAGTCCCATGGAATAGTGTTCCACAAGTTGATTCCTTATCATTTTCTCTTTTTCTCTTTTCCAGAACAGCTTTAGAAGTTTCTTTTTATCTCCTGCTGGAAAGAGTTTCCTTGGTTTCACACATTCCTTTTGCAAATCCAATATAAGAAGGCTTTCCAAGTCACTCTTCTGATTCATTATTTATATGTCTTTCTTAATTACCAAGATATAAACAGGTTTCATTTGTAAATCCATTTTGGCATTGTTTTCCATATCATTCTTCCACTCTGGCATTTTTAAATCCATTTTCAGTTCCACAGCATTCTTTTTCATATCACTTTTGTAATCAGCATTTTTTAGAACTCAAATCTATATTCAAACCAGTATGTTTAATTCAGTAAAATCTGATCTTCTTCTCTATCCTCTGCTATAATATCAAACAATCTTGTAAGTAATTTCTAAGTATGTTGTTCCCCAAAGAGCCTTAATTTCTTCTATAATCAAACAGTATTGCTCCATTGTATTAATGTGCCTATTCGCCTTTAGGCCCCCTCCTTTAGGGCACCTCTTATCATTTGTTTATTTTCCAATCAACAAAACTCTCATGGGAGAAGTTCTTACAATTAATTCCTTTAAACTTAATTTATTCCTTTATAAATGTTTAAACATCTCACAGGAAATATTCTAAAAGTCTATCTAGCTTCTTAATTTTCCGAGATCCACATTCTAGTCCCCCCTTTTTTGATTTCCAAAAAAGTCAAGCTTTTCTTTTTAATCCTTAAGCTTATATTGGAGCTTATTTCATCTAGGGTAGAACATTTTCCCAGTAACATAATACAGCTTGCCCTTTGGAAGATTCTTAACTCCAAACCAATCAGTAATAAGCAGCTTTCTAAAGTAGTTAAGAGAGGAAGTAGGCAAACCCAGTCATCACTTTGTAAGGTGCCTAACCGCATGTTAGTCAAGGTAAATACTTCTCAGTCCTGCTGGAGAAAAGTGTTTTGCAATCTCTTTGCAGGGAGATTTCTGTATGGAGCCAAACATGGGCAATCCTTGTCTCCTCCTTAATCCAGAAAGAAGAGCCAATTCATTCACCAGCTCGTATTTCGATCACGTTCATTGGCTTTGCAGAAAGAACCATGTTCAAATCTTTACTACCTCCTTGGAAGTTCCCTATATGCTTCTTTTCCATTCTGTTTCCAACTCACTGATAACATTTGGTGACCATAGTGACAGATCTCTCAATCAGCAAATCTCTGGGGTCAGTTAATCAGTAAATAAGTCTCATCATAATCCTTTTCTGCCAGGAGATCTTTTAAATTTGGATCTATTTTATTTCTCTATTAAACAGATTTATATAGCCACCCAATTCTCACACAGTGACACGACTGAATTATTAATAATCTTAAGGAATATCATATTGGACATTGAGTTATATTTTACAATACTACAGAAAATACTGACTTTTAAAAATCATTATTTGAGACAGCATGGATGAGTAACCTTGCTGTTCAGCTTGAATAAATAAAGCTTAATTTAAACATATTTTTATATGTTTAAATGCTCTGGAAAATATTGGGGTTTTTATGTTAGAAAAATCAGGAAGAGTAGAACCTCAATATATTTTTATTATCCATTTTAATGTTTTGCCTACGTGGCATTATTGTTATTATGGTTCATCGCACAGTCATCCAGGTATATATATAAATTTATTCTGCTTCCCATATAATCACATATCATTGTGGCATACAATAAAATGTAATCGAAACAATATTAAAATAACTACATTCATTAAAAAAATGAAGGGGAGGAAAATAACCATTCATTTATGGGAGGCCTGGGGTACAGAAAAGTTGGTCTAATAGAAGGCCTAAGGAATTAGTTATAGAAGGCCTGAATATCATGAGAATTTTCCAGAGTGCTGGCGCCACCAAAATGGCATTTATATTAGTTTGTTGGCTAGTTATCTGGTCATTGATTTTATTAGAAGATCAAGAGTAATCTTTACTCCCATTACCAGATATGTTGTAAGAAGACCTTTTGTTAGGATTGTTAGCACTCCATTTGGTCTCTAAACCATTTTAAAAGTGATTGCAAATGTTATTTGTCCCTGTCAATACATTTGAAAGTTCTCGTATTATTCATTCTGTTACTTTAATTCAGTTCCTAATCAGTTCAGCAACATATAGTCTTTAATAAATTATTGCCAAGTCAGATTGTACAAGCTTTGAAGGCTATCTTCAAATCTAGTCTAAAAAGGGCTGAATTTAAATTTCATCCGTTCTGTTTTTTTTCTGTTCTTAATATTTAGAAATTTACCTTTATGTGATTAGTTGCATCTTTCACCGAAGGAGAGTGACAAAGTACAAATCTGACTAAATGTGAATTAAAGCTGCTGTTGGGGCCTATTTTGTGACAATAAGGATGGCGAATCATCAATATTTCTCTACCCTTGTAGCATTCACAGATAGCTGCCCGGCAGCCTTATTTCAGATGGTGTGAACCCTCCTGGGAAGGGGTGGCTCAGAGGTTTAACTGCAAAGTCATGCTGAGGAAGATCCTGTCTTGGTGTCTAGAGACAGTGGAAATCTTGATGGGGATTGAGAGGGTTTGGCTCAAGACCAGTAAGACCTAGTGGTTTGAGATTTTACACACACCCCCCAAGTTCTGGGGACTATCCATTTCTGCACTGCCCCAAACAGAACTATCTGGGGGTTCTTCTGGACTTGCAGTTGGTGGCAGCCATGACCAGGAGGGCCTTTACACAAGTTTTGCGTTGTTAGCCAGTTGTGCCTGTTCTTGGACTGGGAGGCCCTGCTTAAAGTCACTTAAAACTTAGTCACCCCCAGATTATATTATTACAACACACTTGACGACATCAGGTTTTCCCTGAAGAGTATTCGGAAGTTTTAGCTGGTGCAAAATGCAGCGGCCCAAGCATTCAGGACAAGTAACATCTCTGTTCCATGAGCTGCATTGGCTTACCAGTATCCTTTCGGAAGGAACTCAATGTGCTGATGGTTATCTTGGTTACCTGGTTACCTTAAGGTCAGGTTACTGATTACTGTCTCCCCAGCATTGTCTATCTGACCTTTTAGAACTGGGAGGATAAACATCCAGATCCCATCTGTGAGATCGTCATCTGTTGGGACCTAGGAGAGGAAAGTAGTGCCCACCCTAAAAGTATACTTCATTCCTCCCAGAAAATATACTTGCCGTAACCATCCTGGCCTTTTGCAAGGTACCAAAAACTTGGCTATGCCATCAAGCCTGATTGTTGCTGTTATTATTATATACAGGTAATTCTTGACTTACAGCCACAATTGACCTCAAAATTTCTGTTGCTAAGCAAGACAGTTAAGTGAGTTTTGCCCCATTTTACAACTTTTCTTGCCCCAGTTGTTAAGTGAATCACTGCCATTATTCAATTAGTAACACAGTTGTTAAGTGAATCTGGCATCCCCATTGACTTTGCATGTCAGAAGGTTGCAAAAGTTGATCACATGACCCTTGGAACGCTGCAGCCCTCATAAATACGAACCAGTTGCCAAGCTTCCGAATTTTGGTCATGTGACCATGGGGATGCTGCATCCATCGGTTATAAATGTGAAAAACTCTCATAAGTCACTTGTTTTCAGTGCTTTTGTAACTTTGAACAGTCACTTGAATGTAGGACTACTTGCACATAAGCTGGTGTTGGTCTTCATATACATCATTTAGCTGGTGTTGGCCTTCATATACATCAGGTTCTATGATGTCATAATGTATTGGCATTGTATGTGTATGTATATGAGCCAATCCAAGCTGTGTGGCCTTTCATAATTGACAGATGGAAGTTTTGTCAGTGCACAGATTTTCTAAGTACCGATTCCAAATTTTACGGTATGGCACCCAGTGTACCTATAACCACTGTGACTAGCAGTTCTGAAGTTTGATGTCCACACTGCCATTAAGATGTATGCTTCCTTCCATTGCCAGAATAATTTAAAGAATATTAATGGCTGGAGCATATCATATACAACAAATATATACTTATCTTTAACTTACTAAAATCATCCTAAATTTTATTTATTTATCAAATTTATAGAACTGCCTATCTAATGAAAAGTTATTCTAGGTAGCATACAATAGTCACGATTCTAGGAATCTTATGAAGTCTGATCAAAGTACAAATAGAGCAATGGTTACAAAGTAGCCAGCAGTATTGACCTGTCTGAGTAGGTTTGTTCTGTAAAATAAGTAGTGTTTAAAGGCATATAAATATAGCAACCAATGGATTATGACCTCTGAGAATTTCCAAACTCTTATTTTTTGTATGTAGTCCATGGTGTTTATTTATGTAAACATGTGAATAAAAATATTGTCCTGTAATTTTTCTGTTTGTTTTTTTTTGAAAAGGCCTTGGGATATATCCTAAATGAAAAGAAACAGGCTTATTTCAGTTTTCTTTGTCCTTCTCTAGCTTCAAGTCTCTGTTCTAAATATTGTTGGAAGCACATGAGGCCATGGCAGATGTTGATGTTCAAACATCCATACCAAAAAGGTGTGGTCCATACATTTCTTCCATCACCAGCCACAGCCTGAACCTGGTCCTTCGTGGGATAGTCCTGTTCTTAATTGGAGTCTTTCTTGCATTAATATTAAACTTGCTTCAGATACAAAGAAATGTCACCTTATTTCCACCGGATGTGATTACAAGCATCTTTTCTTCAGCTTGGTGGGTACCCCTTGGATGCGGCACAGCATCAGGTATGTCAGAATAATGATGCTAAAAGACATTAAGAAAAATGTCAGCTTAATCCAGGCCATCAAAAACTTCAGGCCTGTGGTCAGAGTCCATATTCTCTGCCTCCCGCTCCTCCTTAAATTTATGTATGCTTTGTGCCAGATTAAGGGAAATGTGAGGCTTCTGTACTTCCCACTAATTCCATCTTTTTTTCTTAGCAGTCAATATCAGCTAAAGAGGAAAAGATGGAATTGTACAATGCCATTTATTGATAGCATTATATGTTCTTGTCATTCAGTAAAAAGCTTGGATAAAGAAAAGCATTCTCCTTCTGATTCCCTCTCAAAAAAAGAAAAGAAAGCCACATTTGATACTTTGATGAATTTGTTATGTAAGATTGTTTTAATCAGCAGAAGTGATTAATAGACGATTCTACTGATAGCAAACCACTCAAAAATTAGAATATTTGCCTGAAATGAATTTACCAATTGTTTATTTATCAAACTGGTGGGGGTTTTTTTCTTTACTAAAAGTATTTTTCAAAGGAAGTATTTGGTGTCAAATGCTTTCTTTGCTTCCTTTTCATGAAGTTAATGCACCATAGAGTTTAAAGAGTAACTTGAAAGGAATTGTCTGTGAAATCTGGCTGAATCATTTTTTACATTTGTAGACTTGGGAAAAAATTATAATTAGGGATTTGGATCTCTAAAGTACCTCAATTCTTTTTTTTAGTTCCTTTTTCCTGGAGTGAATCCAAGATTTTTGAATATGCTATACTGATAGGATTAATTTTTAATATTTCTCCTAACTTTTATAATTCTAAAACAAAGACTCCGAATTGTGTGTATATTATCATTGTCATCAGTAGTTCTTCATTAGGTTTTTCAAAATACACTGTTCCAGAAAAACAATAGAAGTTTCTCCTCTATTGCCATTCCAAGCATAGCATTCTAGAAATTAGTCTCAGGTGGAAGTAGTTTGTCATATTCTAAATTGCTACTTCTCATTCAAACAAGTAACTTCTGGAAAGTCATCAGATCATTTAGAAATGGCAATAATCTTAGTGGCTTGAAGGAGAAATGGAATGGTAGGTTCTCCATATTCCTACCCTTCAGCCCTTAAAAAGCTTTAAAAAAAAAAGCGTTCTGAATCAGGCTGTTGTGCCAAGTGACTTGCCTGGGTCATTTATTCTTGCTGAACTCGGTGAAATTTACCTCACAGGTTCACTTGAAAAGGACTTAAACCCATCAGGTGTCAGAAAAGCGATTATACTGTAGATACTCCTTGTTAGCTGTGTTTGTATTTTACAGCTGTAATTGGATTATTGTACCCATGCATGGATAGACATCTGGGAGAACCTCATAAATTGAAGAGAGAGTGGTCCAGCGTGATGAGATGCGTAGCAGTCTTTGTTGGCATAAATCATGCCAGTGCTGTATCCTTTTGTACCGTAATGAAAGTTGGCAATAGCACGCAAACTTCAGGCGGATCAGAAAATAAAACCAAGCAACCCTCTTAATTTCATTAAGGTTGAATGCAAGGAGATTTACCTCTATGGCAATAAATTTACCACTCTATTTACATAAGAGTAAGACCATTTATCCCCAGCTTGGGAATTTGGGAAGATACGGTTGGCCACAAATGAGTGGGATGGAGGTACATACATTGTTGCTGAAAACTAGGTTTGCCTTTCAAGGTTAGTCATAGCTAAAATATGCATCTATGTATGTACAGAAAGTGAACATGCAAATACATACACAGACGTACTGTGTGCACACATTTGTAGGGAAGGAATCTCAAGAATTGCTTTTAACTAGAATTGGCAAACCAAGGTTTTAGAAATGAGGAAAGTTTGTTTAAAATCAGGATTGTTTTCGTTTTGGGTAAGTACAGCCATTGCCTTTTTATTATTAAGTGATGTAAATTGCTGCTGTCTCTGATAATAAAAATAATGGTTCACCTTGCCTAAAAGCCATTGATACACTTTTCCTTTTAAGTCCTTCCCAAGCTGGTTACCTATCATTATGTATTATGTTAGGAAATCCCTTTTCTGAAATCCCTGTGCCACTTTCAGAGAATTTTCCTTAAACATCCTGAAGTAAAAATACAACACAGGCTGAGATACATTGATTATAAAATAACCAGGAACACTAAAATGTAAGATTTAGAATTGTGAAGAAGCATGAATTTATACCCCCAAAATGTATAAGGTTGGTATCCAGAGGAACTCAGTTTACAAAAAGAGCACTAAACTTGCATGCTCACTTAAACGGGGGAAAAAAAATTTTTTTTTTACATCATTGTACCAATCTTGAAAATGCTGTGAAGATTGGTCTGGATGGGGGTAATATTTAGCCTCGATTTGGGTCTCTTTCAGCCTAAGAGCTGCCTGTCTCTTTAAGGTTAAAAGAAACAACACAATTGGTTTGCTGCCAGTCTTCTCAAAACACTCCTTAAACAGAACAAACAGAAAGTGGATTTTGCCAACAACTTTCAGTTGTCTCTCACACTTGCTGCACTTTCAGTGGGGCTCTGGTGGACTTTTGATAGATCTCGAAGTGGTTTTGGACTTGGAATAGGAATTGCATTTTTAGCCACTTTGGTGACTCAGGTTTTGGTCTACAATGGAGTTTATCAGTAAGTATTTTATGCATATAAAATTCTTATTAATTTAATTTGGATTTTAAAGGCAGCATCTGACAAGGTTATAAATTTAAAAATGCCATGCCTTATTACAGGAATAACATAACAAAATTAATTGGAACAAATGTGACCTAAGTGGCATGTTGTATTATGGCAGGGAGAAGTTGATTGTATTGTTTATTGCCTTTGCAACTGCATGCCTTGATGTTTGGGGATGAAATTACTTGTGCAATTAAATGCTAATAATTATGCTTCCCAGAACCAAGGTTGAAAGTAAAGCTCAGGTTTGCCTTGAAAAACTATAGGCAGGCCCATTCACATTGCCTCTGCTTCTCCTTCCTAATCAGCAATGTGAAGATTATTTGCAATATACTTTCAATCTTCCAGTTTCATGGTGCTGAGAATAAGGAACAAAAATAATTGTGGATCACTCCCCACCTCCCCTTGGCAAGGACGCTATTGGCACTGTGCTAAAAAAATGCAAAAGGTTAATTAAATGAATGGTTTACATCAGGGGTGTCAAACTCGCAACGTCACATGATGTGTCACGACGTATTGCAACTTTTTTCCCATTGCCAGCAATGGGGTGGCCACGGTTTCGCCATGACGCATCCGGCCCAGTGGGCCGGCAGTTTGACACCCCTGGTTTACATCCATTTAGCCTCATTCATATTCCTGCTTCATGTTTATCTGGTGATACATTAAATAAATAAATTCAAAGACAATTGGAGAGGGGGGGGGACTCTGAAAAGCAATCAAGCTGCCTCTTCCTATTAAAAGGTTTGACGCTAAAGAGCTCAGGTCAAGCCCATGGGGAAGAGAATTGTCCACATACTACATAGAGCCACACTTTTAAAGTAATTTTACTGTAGCTTCAAATACATCACAGCTGAAACAGAAATAAATCCATTTAACGCTCTGCTTTTATATGGACTGTCCCCGTTTTCCCAAGATATTCTGAATTGGCCTTTTAAATTCCCATTTTAGAATTTCTGACCAAGGTGTAGTTAGGAAAGCACATGCACGGAAGAGTTCTGCTTTTAAAAATTCTTTTTCAATTTAATCGGTAACAAAGACAGCTAGCTATCATCCATAACACTCTTGGCCCCAGCAGTCTTCAGGCTTTTTACTGTCTTTTTCAAAATCAAAATCATACTTCAAGCAAGGTGCCATTGTGATGCTAACTAATTAAAGAAAAAAACCCTTCTTTTTCTCCAGATACACATCTCCTGACTTCCTTTATGTCCGTTCCTGGTTGCCCTGTATATTCTTTGCTGGTGGAATAACTATGGGAAACATTGGCAGGCAGCTAGCAATGGTAAGCTAGCAATTCAATGTTCTATGTTTTTGCAGTATCCTTGTAAGTAGTTTAGCCTCTTTGACCTTGATTTTCCTCCCCTTAGGACAAGGGTAGGCAACCTTGGCTCTTTTATGACTCGTGGACTTCAACTCCCAGAATTTCTGAGTCAGCATGGCTCAGCTTGGAAACTCTCCCTTTCCCCTCAGCATGGCTGGCTCAGGAATTCTGGGAGTTGAAGTCCACGAGTCATAAAAGAGCCAAGGTTGCCTACCCCGGCCTTAGGATATCCAAATAATTTTGACAACATTAAGGAAACTCAGCACTCACTAGCCAGTTCTCTTGAATTAGGCATGGGAATGGCATTAAACACTCCAATATTACATTAATTTTTCAATTTTAGAAGTCAGAATTTCCACGAATGAAAATAAAACAAATAGAGCTTGATTCTCAGAAACATCCCCCAAAGTTAAACTTTTGAACACTTCAGAAATAAACCTTAGAAGCATTCGTAGCTTCTTTTAAAAAATTATTCAATCTTTTATTGCTTTTAAAGTAAAGTGACAAAACAGGGGGGAAAAGTACAAAAAAAACATATAGGCAAAGACAAAGGCAAAAAAACCCCATACAATCCATTATAAGCCTTCAATATTTGAATACGTCAATGCTGTTTTTGAAAGTGAAAAAAAATAAAACAGAAGAACGTATATCATTTTAACAGTACATAATTACAACTCTATATACAGTTATGCAATTATAGGGAAGTGTTCAGAGCCTTTAACATGTGAACATAGTCTATTTTAAAGAGAAAGATGAAACTCAACTAATGAGGCTAATTCTTGTGGCTCATCACCTGGCCACCCTCTCTGATGAAAAGATGCTCACTGATGCCACGGGAAGCATGTTTTAAAGCCTGATTTCTGAGTAGGACAGGAAGTATGTGGGAAGACTAGGCTGGCTTGCGCCTGAAGAGAGAAGTATGATTTCTTTTCAGTTGCCATGACCTTGTCCTAAACCAGGGGTCTTCAAACTTGGCCCTTTTATGACTTGTGGACTTCAACTCCTAGAATTCCTCAGCCAGGCACGCTGACTGTTGAATTCTGGGAGTTGAAGTCCACAAGTCATAAAAAGGCCAAGTTTGAAGACCCCTGTCCTAAACATTTCAACCCCTTGGCTTTGTAATTAATATTACCAGTAAATTAGAGATTCCTGTTTAAGTTGCATCAGTTGATGTGAAGGAAGGAAAGAATCTAAACCTTCGGGGGGGTTTTTTTTGTGTGTGTGTGTGTGTGTGTGTGTGTGTTTATCTCTCTCTGTGTGTGTGTGTGTGTGTGTGTGTGTGTGTGTAATATAATCTGTCTTATGCTCTGGATTCCAGAGTTGCGTGTTCATTACACATCAAACTACAAAAAGAGACTGGCCACTTTTTTGTGCTTCCTTCCTAGTTGCATTTTGGATGTGGTATATAAAAGCTGCAGTGACCTATTCAAATATTGAAGGCTTATAATGAATTTCAATATGATTTTGTTTTAAATAATTCTTTGTTTTTGGTTCTTGCTTGTTTTATGATTTTAATGTATTAACTATTTATTAAAAATGAGAATTCTTGTGGGTCAAAAATATTATAAATACTTTCTAATAAATTGAAAAAGTAGTTGCAAGAGAATCCAGCCATACATGTTTAGTTTATTAAGTATAAATAACCTTTCTAGAAATACCTAATCTTATTTTTCTTTGTTCATACAAACATAAACTTTTTTTATTTTAAAATTTTCTAATTTATTGTTTATAAATAGATTTTCCATCATTATAAAAGCAGTATCAAAATGGATGGGTTAATTCTTTTAAAAAATCTTACAGCAGGAATTGATGTTAAATTTTGAAATGCATGTTGTCTCTGCATTTTTTTAAAAATCCTGTTTTTTTAAAAATCAGTTTTACTTTCTAGAGAGGCTGTTTCGTTTTGATTTTAAATTTCCCGGGGCTGATCCCCGTCCATTCATCTCTCCTTTCATATCCTCTTTTTCATTTATGGTTTTCTTTGCAAAGTTTTATTTCTATCATTCACTATTTTCTACATTTTTAGACATGATAAGCTTTGAAATCCTTTCTGATCTCTTTCATAGTCTAATGGTTGATCCCTGTCTACCCCTGCCCATTCCTATAATCCAAATTCACATGGTTTGCCTACTGTATGTTCAGGCTGCGGTTCTGGGGATTAGTGGGGTAAAATGGGTCCCTGGGGAAGAAGAAAACTCCTTTGTTGAACCTACCCATTTGCTTTGTTCTGCTCTTTTCTCAGCTGTACATTTTTATTTTCGCAGATCAGCTACTTATGCCTAACTCCTGTTTGTCTTACAGTATGAATGTAAAGTTATTACGGAAAAGTCTCATCAAGACTGACAAGAGCAAAAAAATACTTTTCTCACAGGAGGAGGACGAGCAGACTGAGAAGAGCACACAGTAGAGAGAACTCAATTATATAATTGCCAAAAAAAAAAAAAAAAAGCAATCTCCCTCTCTTGTTTCTTCTCGTCTTGTCCCTGGTTGTGTCTCTGGCCTGGTCCACTTGCAAAGGCACTATTTACTGCAATCTGTGATTGCTGAACCTCTGGGTCACTTAAAAATCCTGGCATCTCAGGAACGTGATCTGTGCGAAACAGTACTTCAGCTCAATATGCTGGAGGAAGTATTGGCTTCTGAGTAGGATCCTGAACTTGGCTAGGCTTGGCATGTAGTGTCCCTACACACACACACACATACACACACACACACACCACCCGCTGTAAGGTTCTTGTGCCAAACCAAGCTTACAACAAAACAAAATATCACCCTCCTCTCCTGGCTGCATTACTTTTTACTTACTTTGGCCAATTTTGAGAGAGGTGGTATTCTTTAGAGTGTTGCTGTTTTATTATACCTCAGGTCAGAGGGATAAAGGGCCCCCAAAGACACTGATGGAATTAGCATCAAAAGTATAATCAGTGCTGTGACTTCTCTTGGAAAAAAGGTAAATAAATCTACAGAATAACTGCACATAACGTGAACATGGATGTTCTGTTTTGTATCAAGAGTTGACGGCATAGTTGGATGCAAATGCACGATTTGCAATACAAATGAGTAGTACTGCTACTGCACTCTCCGTGTCTATGCCTGTAGTGTGTTGAGTGTGGAACCACTCTGTAAATAAATACACCCTATTGTAGGGCCCTTCATCCCATAGCAGCAGCAGCAATATAGCTGTTTATTAAGATGTGATTCACGCTAAATGGTAATATTAAGGCTGTCCATAAACAAGACATTTACAGTTGGTAGTTTAGTTCTGGAAATATGAAAATCCAACTTTCTTTTTAAGTTTGGTAAGATGAACTTCAGTGTAGTAATTGCAAGTACCTCTCTCACTTTGTATAGTAAAACATGGGTAGCTGCTTGCATTCTGATCATAGGAACTAAAAATGTTCCTTTACCGAGATTCCAGCAAAATGTTATTGCTGTTAGAGAAATGTCATATGACAAGGTAAATTCTAACAAAAGAGAGGCACAGCTGAAGACAATATTATGGTACTGCATCAGTAGAGCTGATCCTTGAGTTTGGTAAAAGGGAGAAAGGAAAAAGACACTTCCTTATAATACCATTTTAAATCATTCAATTTAATTGCTACTATAGTCTGTGTATAAAGTGAAAAGCTGCTGGTGTTTTTTTAAAAATTATATTCAGTGCAAGTTTAAAAAAATGCAGCCACTCAAGAGGCTGTTATTGGTCCAAAGAAAAATATGTGGGTGTATAAATTATATATATATATATATATAATTTTATTTTTCTTTTAATATATTCATAAAAATGTAGAATTGGAAAACTAAGATTTTTAAAGACTTGCACACTAATACATGAAAAATATGCAATGAGAGCCTGGGGGAAAATAAACCAAGCTTTGGAAAGGAAAATGTGCAATCAATAAGTCTTAGAAAAATAGCAAACAGTATGCAAAATAGCGGTAGCTTTAATTTTCGACTAGCTGTTGCAAATTCACACTATTGCACTACAGGGTCTTTAACATAGTTGTAATGTTATCAGACTGAATATTAGAAAACACTTAAAGTGTTAGTGCACCTCCTTATATGCCTTTCCCCATATGAAATCTACCGCAAAACAATTCATAAGGTTTAATTTTAAGACATCTCTAACAGCGTAATGTCTCTGAGTGGCTTAAAATTGAGAGATCTGGTTCTTAATCGAGTTTATCTGTGGTTCTGCTGAATCCAGTTCTTCAGAGTTGTCACCAGAGCTTATTAAAATGATAGGAGTCCTTTGAAGGTTTAACTATGATAACCTGGCTCTTACCAGATAGTCTAATTATTGAATTGGAGTGTTGCTGTAACAAAATATAACTTGTGTGGCTTTGAATGGAGCTGCATCATAATTTTTTAGTTATCTGGCCTCCTAACACATGGGTAGCACACATGTTTTTAAAATAAGATCTGTTACTTTGTAGTTTTGTGGGCAGATTTTGCGGGATTAAGCTACCTTAAAGTGAAACGGGATAATGGCTTTCACAAGGTTTACTGAGTCTAATTGCAGGTAATAGTGTTATTTGGTTCAATTTATGGGTGTAATGACTGATTGCCAATGATGACTTTTCTGCAGAAGATATTGGACTTAATTGTAATAGTTCTTCATTATCTTGCTAAGAAGTCCAGAATAGTTCACAGGTTTTCGTAAACCTTAAAACATGGAGTCGTATCTCATTGCATATTGTCCTGAAGACAGATACCACCATTTGCATATTAGCTTATTCAGTAAGCATCATAGTTGCTCTTCAGCGAATATGCACACAGTTTGAAATTACCACTTGAAATTTTTTTGACCAGCACTTCTGATATGGAACAAATTACTCATCTTTTCAAAGTCACTTTGATAGGCCGCTATTATCTCTTAAATATTTCTATTGAGCAAAATTCACATTGTTTCTCTGTATTACCACCAGCCGGTACTGAATTATGAGAGGAGAAGTTTGTGATGAGAATGCCTTAATTACAGTGGTGGGAGAAAAGCAACTGCTATATGATGTGTCACTATAATAATACATTGTCTTCAAAATGCTCTATAGAGGATGAATAAGGTATATTTTAGATACAACTTTGTAAGCACTATAAACTCTTCACTAGTTGTGAACAAGTTGTTAATGTTTACTTCAGGCTGCTGTTAAAAGCAAAATATGTATTAAATAAAATTACAGTCTTGAAAACTTAATTTCTTTTTCATTTACTAAGAAGCAATAATTCATAATTGTATGGTGGTGATTCTCTTTCAGATATTAGAATGTTCGCTGTTGAGCCAGGATAATAATTACAGAACAACTAGAAAATTAGCATATACTTCCCAGCCATTAGAAAACACAAATCAACAATTGCATGAAGTCAGTATAATTGCAGATTGATTTGGGCTTTTAGATCCAAATCTTCCAGTTCTGGTTAGAACACTGGAATGGAAAGTGTCATGTAAAATAAAAATTAAAAAGGGACACAAACACACAACATTTTCTTTCTTTCTAAAAGGCAGCAGGAAAATTGTCTCTGATAGTGTTTTTTTTTTTAAAGTGCAGTTAGCTGTTCTGGGTTGAGAGAAAAAAGAATTGCTGAAATTTTATATCTGAAATAAAGACACTGAAGCCTTGTTGCATAAACCTTCCTACTTCTCCACATTATTACAATATCTTGGGATATGATTTATCCACAATTAACATTCTCAGTTAAGCTAAAACATTAGTGGAAATACCATACCATAAACCATAAACTCAATATATGTCACGATATATTTATAGACACATAAAAGTAACACTAACACAAATATAACATCCAACATCTATAATACAACATACTGCCATCTGATTTTATTAATAAGTTTTATAAGATAGCTATATCATCTAATTTTACTAGTTCCTATTCTCAACACTTATTCACAGTTGCTTCCACCAATCAGGTTATTAAATAATTGATCACAGAAGAAGAAAAAAAGCCCTATAATCATGATTACAGATTCTGAAATACAAGTTCTGATTACCTTGAAGTGTCATACTATAAGGGGGTCATGGTGGAAAGGGATCATGGGAATAGACTCATTAACGATCCAGAAGGATTCCATAGGTCATGAATGGCATATGGCCATATTTAAATTGTGTTCCTGTGCAGCAGTATATTCTGGTGACAAGGATACCTAATACTACTGTAAAGTCATGAATTCTCGGGGGTAGAAGCTGTTCATAGTAAAAAGTTTTCCTCATGAAACTTCTACTGAGTTTGAGACAGTGTGTAATAAATTATGGTCAAGGAAGAGGAATCATCTCTTGGGATCCAAGAATCTGGCCTGTATCGGCAAAGAAATATTTCTTAGCATTACTGTGCCTTGAGGCACATTCTCTTTCTGTGATATTTTTTATGATGCTATTGGGGAAAAATGTTAAGGACAGCTGTCTAAAAATAAAGAGTAATAATTAAAATGTTTCACTCCTTTGTTGTTCACACCATAGAAGGAATTATAAAATTTATGAAATACTTTGTGTGTTGAACTGACTTAAAAATTTATTGTAAACAGTTGGGAATTTAAAGCAAGTGAAAACATACCCAAAGTATGTACCCAAAGAACTGTGGACTAGTCCTTGGTCCACAAACTGGGGAGTGGTTAAAAAGTGGATGAGGGGATGGAACAAAAAACACATTTTATGTTTATTAACTTAACTGTATTTTGTTTGATTGTTGACAGCTGCCAAAGTCACTGGGAATCAGGCAGCTTACCAGATTGAATACTGTAATAATAAAATAATAAATAATCAGTCAGTTGCAAAAGGCAGCTTTACTTAGAACAGCTTACATCCTGTAACAGTACCTTTGATATCATCAAATAGCAATATCTGCCTATCCCAGGTCCTTGAGAAGGATTTGATAAGTGGATAAAAATGCCGAATTTGATCTGGACATCTGGCTGACTGTGTGACCAGCCAAACAATTATTTAATAAATACATTCTGCACCCGACTTTAATAATTCCTTCTGATCTCAAATTGAACATTAGATTTTTTAAATTTATACGTACAATTTGGTTGGCTGGCAACTATTGGAACCAGGTTTAGGGCCCAAGATTTGAGGTTGACTCCATGTTCCCTGGAATGGCAGACTAATTCAGTTATTTTGTAGTCTGGCAATACAATGTTTCTGACAGGTTTATGCAAGGACAAGCTAGGATTACAACAATTAAAAAAAATACTTGTAACTCTGGCTTGTAGCAATATTTACCTCCCTTCTGGAACTATGCTGGCCACTGGACAAAATTATAAGTCAGCTTCTTATCTATTTTTTCTAAATTTTCTTAAAACCAAATCAGACAAGTCATCAAATCCTGATGTATTTTTTATTTTGCAGAAAAAAAGCAGTTTATTCCATTAACAGAAAATACATGTGGGAGGGGAAGGA